CTGCAGGTCCGGCCCTCCCGGGCGGGTGGGGCGCGCGAGAGGAGGAGCCTCGGGCCGAGCCACTGCCTTCGCCGCGGACCTTCAGCTGCCGCGGTTGCTCCGAGCGGCTGGCCGCAGAGGTGAGTGACCCCTCCCCCGGTCTCCGCGGGGCCGTGTGCTGCGCCGGGTCCCCGAGACACCCGCCCGGTTGCACCCTGCGCCATCGCCGCGCGGACCTCGGGTGCCGCCACGCGTCTGGAGGCGACCCCTCTGCCCTGGGACCGAGCCACGTGCGTCGGGCGGCAGAGAAACCGGGTTCGGGGCCCCCACCCCGCGTGCCTTCCTTCCCTAGGCGCAGAAGCCGCTTGCGCCATGCGAGTTGGGCAGGGCCGGCGGCGACAGTGGCGGGGAGCAGGCTCCGGAGCCCCGGGTGCAGACGTGGGCGCCCCTCCAGGTGACCCCGGCTGAGTCCACAGGTTCCGTGTGCCCCACAGCTGGGGCTCTGGCCAGCGGTCCCAAAGGAGGGCTGGTAGCTGTGGGCGGGATCGTCCAGGCTCTTCCTTGCCAGACCTCCCAGTCCCTTCGCAGCCGGGCAGGGCAGGGCAGGGGCAGGGGCTGGGCAGGGGCGACCGACCTTGGTCCCCAGGAGGAGGCTGGTCTGACCAGTGCCCGCCTCTGCCCGTAGAGCTCTTGCCTGGCAAAGTTCCCCTTCCTGCCCGGCAAAGTTCCCCCTCCTGCCCACTTCCCCGAAATTTGGGGACAGGCGGCCCGGAGAGGTGTGGTTGGAACTTTGGTCACTCTGGGTAAATGAAGGGGAGGGTGTGCCCAGATAATATGCCGTTTGGGGACCAGAAAGCCGGATTCGTGGGGAGAAGCAGGAAGGTCCTGCTGGAGCCCTGGCAGAGGGCACGGAGAGGCCTCCCAGGTGTCCAGGGCCACCTCAGAGATGGACTCCAGAAGTGCGGGGTTCTGGAAATAGCCCCAGGGAGGTATTTCTGTCCATCAGAGTGCAGCCATAATATAATTAACAGCAGATATTCCCATTTATGTGTGCCAGGCCTCTTGCTAAGGGCTTTGTGCATAATATCCCAGTTAATCCTCACAACAGGAAGGCACCATTATCTCTTGTTAAAAATGGAGAAACAGCCTCAGAGAGTCCACATATTGTGCAAGGATACACAGCTAGCAAGTTGCAGAAGTAGGATTTGAACCCAGAGTTATCTGACTTGGAGCCCAGAGGAACCTACCAGTGGGGTGAAACAGGCTGTGTCCCCAAGAGGATTCTGGTAGCCCCAAGAATACAGTGATGGGAACCAGAAGGTCCACAAAACCAAAGGGTCCCACGTGGGTGTGTCCCCTCAGTCACCTGCAAGCCTTGTTAAAAATATAGATCCCGAAGCCCCATCCAAAGCTGACTGAATCAGCTAGGAGCACCTGGAGGACCCAGACTGTGTCTTACTCATCTGTGTCCCCGGTGGCCTGCAGAGGGGCTGGCAGGGAGCAGGTGCTTAGCCAATGTCTGATGGGTAAGTGGGCGGAGTGGGGTAGATGGTGTCACTAGTGTCCTGAAGGGGCTTAAATGGAGCAGGTGGCCTCAGCCAGGCAATGTGGCAGCAGGTATGGAACTAACACAGTTTAATGCTGGCCTCAGAGCCAGCAGGGAACTCAGGCTGGGCCACTTGTCCACCTGGAGGTTGAACAGCCTGCCCCAGGTTTGCTGAGGTTCCCAGGACCAGGCCAGGTCAAGCTGGGATCACACATGTGCCCTCTCCAGCCTAGAGATGTCAAACACATAGATTCCTCTCCCATTCATGTCTCCTATCCTTGGCCCACAGCCCTTCCCTCCTTGGGCTTATCAGAGACCAGGGTGCTGGGCAGGGCTTCAGATAGTTAAAAAGTGAAAGTTCTTGAGTGAAGTCCAAAGGCGCACACCTGAGAGCTGGGTGGGTAAAGGTCGCTGGCTGAGAGCTGGGGGGAGAGTCTGGCTTTAGAGTCAGATGGATGAGTCCAAATCTCAGCTCCTTACCCCCTGACATGAAGCCCTCAGCTCTCTGAACCTCTGTTCATTTGCAAAACCTTGCCAAGGGCTTCAAACAGGATATCCTCATAAAACAAGGATGCCTATCTGGGGGACTAAATGTGTGAAGTGCTGAATTTTAGGAGTGCAGTAAATATCAGATCCCTCCTTCTTCACCTCAGGTTTACGCGTTAACCAGTGAGGGGCCTTCCAGGCCCAGCACTCTTCTAGACCAAACCACTGACTTTCCTAAAGAAGGTAACTGAGGCCCAGAGAGTGGCCTCCAGGTTCCATACTCTGTGGCAGAGCTGGCCTTGGCTCCAAGCCGCAGGGTTCCCAACTCTGTCTCAGCTGATGCCTCCCAGACTGGTGGTCTATGCTGCCTGCTGCATTCCCTGTCTAGCTGCAAATGAACAATTGAGCGGACTAGGGTGAGGTTCAGGCAGGCTGGGGCAGGGGAAGGAAGCAGGTCATTCGGGGAGTCGGGCTCCCTGGTCTTCCAGCTGAGGTTGGATCTGCTCTTTCCTGTCCACCCACGGTGCATAGTGGCCAGGTCTTCCTGAGCTGGGCAGGCCTGAGCTGAGCAGGTTGAGTACTATGAAACCGCTTTCTAGCATCTAGACCAGGAAGGTGCCTCTCGATTTAAAATGAGGATGTTTGCCAGTTTAAGTAGTTATTAGAACCTAAGGCCAAATTGGCGCCTTTCCTCCCTCTAGGGGTTGGAAGGGTGTATGCCTCTTTTTCCGCTCCTACCTCACCCCTGCCAACCCATCCCAATTTGAGAGGCTTTGGAGATCACAGAACTTGGAGAGGAGAAGGGCAGGGGTCGGGGTGAGACTAGGTGGTCTTCAAACATTGGGCTACTGAAGTCCCGCTTCCTCCCATCAGTCTCCTGCAGCTGTATCCACCCACCTGTCCAACACAGCCTCCCACGGGTCCCGGGCCTCTGTGTGCTCCAACCATCACATCCTTGGCATGCCACACACCACCACCATCTCGCCTGAAATGCCAGTCCTCATCACTGACATTCAGCCTCCCATGTGCCGGCTCCCGGGCCAAATACTTTACCTACAGGAGCTCATTTGTACCTGGAGACTCTTAGGAGGTCGACAGTGTTCTTTTCCCAACCACGTGACTTTCCAAGCACATATGGACCCCAACTTCTTTTTTTCCACCCCTATCCTGAGACTCCTAGCCACTAACTAACCGCCACATTCTCCTGTCCAAATTCTGCCTCATTGGTTATTCATTCAACAAACACTTACTGAGCACTAACTTTGAGCCAGGCACTCTAAGACCAGCTGAGTCCCACTGCTGGCAGGATGAGTGTTGTCATTAATCAACCCACAAACACACATGCCCTCTGCGTACTGGTGAATCTGAGTGAGGAGACGCGTGGGCGGTGAGGCCAGGACCTATTGCTCATGTGAATGAGCCAGGATGCAAAACCAGAGACACCCCTCCCTCACCCACTGAGCCGGAGGGACAACCTCTGTGCCTGCGGTGAGGGCTGACAGGCGACTGCTCGTGGCTAAGAAACTCTTACGTTGTCATTTCAACCCAGGGGCAGAGTGTGCTCCTCTTCAGGTGTGGCCCTGGCCCTCATGAGCACTCCTCCGAATGGGCCAGGCCGTTGGTTGCTTCTAGCGCTGTAAGAACACTGTCGGGCCTGGCGCGGGGCTCAAGCCTGTAATCCTAGCACTTTGGGAGGCCGGACGGGCGGATCACGAGGTCAGGGAGATCAAGAACCATCCTGGCTAACAAGGTGAAACCCCGTCTCTACTAAAAAATGAAAAAAAACTAGGGGGGCAAGATGGCGGGCGCTGTAGTCCCAGCTACTCGGGAGGCTGAGGCAGGAGAATGGCGTGAACCCGGAGGCGGAGCTTGCAGGAGCCGACATCCGGCCACTGCACTCCAGCCTGGGCATACAGAGTGAGACTCCGTCTCAAAAAAAAAAAAAAAAAGAACACTGTCACTGGAGAATTGTTTGATACTCAACTCTCCAGTCAGTCGTTCTGCATGCCCACCAGTTTACCAGGCAGCGCAGGCAAACAGGTGAGCACTGATGTTCCTCAGTCAGCAGTGACTTCCTCCATCTCCGCCTTCTGCTTAATGAGAGCAGGTGGGAACTCAGCAAACATGCCTGTGTAAGCCTTCTTTTTAAGTTGTAAAAAAAATAACTGCCCCAAGATTATAAAGCCGACTTTGGTACAGTAAAGAGATTTGGGTTGGTGAATGGCCACTAAGCTTTATGGTGGGTGTCAGCCTGTCTCGGGTCATGTGTAACAGCAGGGCCCCCAGAACTGCCATGCTGGGGTCTGCGAGTGAACAAGCTTCCCATTTCTTTATGTATGTATGTATGTATGTATGTATGTATGTATTATTTATTATTATTGAGACAGACTCTTGCTCTGTCGCCAGGCTGGAGTACATGGAATCATCTCGTCACTGCCAAACTCCCTCCATGTTCAAGCATTTCTCTGCCTCCAGCCTCCCGAGCAGCTGGATTACATGTCCCACCACAACCCGCTAATTTTGTAGTATATAGAACGGGTTACTGCCAAGTTTGGCCAGGCTGGTTTCCTCCTCCTGATACCAGGTGATCCACCTGCCTTGCTCCCAATGTGCCTGGGATATTAGGTGTGAGCCACCATGCCCGGCTGCGTTCCCATTTCTATAAGCATCCAGCTGGTGGGGTGGCCAGTAGGCTGTGGCGAGTGGTGCCCTGATTTTCCCAGTGGGCTTGACAGGGTAACGGTATACCCCAGTCAGGGCGAGGGTCCTCTCGGAAGTGAACTCTGGGTACACAGCTAGAGGAAATACAGTGGGCTGTGCTGGGCCCTCCGGGGGAGGTCCTGCCTGCATATGCCACAGTGGGCTTGCTGGCATCCAGGGGGGCTTTCTGGGTGACCATCCAGGGCTGCACAAGGGGTCAGTAGCACACTGAATGCAGTGGAGTTTGAGAGGACCCACCCATTCGGCTGTCAAATCCCCCAACCCTGGGTTAAGGCCAGAGCAGCTGTGGGAAGTGATGCCGGGCCCTCTGGAGATGACCCTCCTGGCCCTTGGAGATGTCTCTGGCCTGGCCAGAAAGAAGGTGCTACCTGGAACTGGAAGGGAAGGAAGCAAGACAGTGCTGGGCCCAGCAGCCAGAAATCAGGGTGATGGGTAGATGGAGGGGCGGGCATCTGGGAAAGCCCTGCCCTCCTGGTGTTCCCAGATCTGAAGGCTGGAGGTTGGAAACCTTGCGTCACCCGGGCTGGTGTGAGTTCCAGTGGGGCTGCTGCTTGCCCTCCCGTGACCTTTAACATCTGGCGCGGCTGCGTGGGGGGTGCTGAGAGGAGGGGAAGTCCCAAGGCTGAGGGAGCTGGGGGTAGAGCCAAGGTCTCAGTGAGAACCCCAGGGGGCAGCTGTCACCGCTGACCTGGAGCCCTCCAGGAACGTGTACTCTCCGGCTCCTGTACTCTCAAAAGCAACAGAAAGGTTTGCTTTCCTCAGGTGCGGTTTCCTCACAGTGCAGCTTCTCCAAAGAGATCTGGAGAACCCCCCCCAGCAGCTTTGATAGGAAAATAGAGTCCTGTCCACCCCACACCAACACACTGAACTAGAGACTCTGGGCCTGGGGCTGCCCAGAAACCCACCCACTTAAACTGCCCGGGCGATTCTGGTGTTCACGAACATTTGAAAGCACTGCCTGAGACCCGCTGGCTCAACAGGTATCCACCAGCTTCACCTAAGCAGAGCATGATGTGAGGGAGTGTGAGGATGTGCTGGGGTGGAGGGCACATAGGTCCCTCCCTCAGTTGACCACAGAGCACCCAGAGTGGCAGAGGGGCCATGTGCAGTGAGTGGCCACAGCAGAGCAAGGAAAGGTGCACACAAGAGCAGTCCTAAGGAAGACATGTGTTTAGGGGTTTCACATTCACTGTTTAATCATCAGGACAGAGAGGGAACGCAACCTGCCCAAGGTCACACAGCTAGCACATGGCTGGACCGGAATTCACACACAGCTCTGTCCAGCTAGGTCCACCAACTAACACAGCTGCCTCTGTGAATTCAAAGCAGGGAGAGATTGTCAGGGGTGGGGGCTGGGGGAGATGGCCGGTGCCTTAAGTGCCCAAGGCCTTGGGCTGGGATCTTCAAGGAAGGGGGATTGGGATGCACCAGGAGGATGTCAAGATTTGAGATGGAAGGAATGCCATTGGCTGTGGTGGGGGGTGGAGTGGGCAGGGACTGGAAGGAGGGGTAGTGGAAGTCAGTCCCTGCCTACCGGCCTGTGCTGGACTCCGCAGAGATTCAGCAATCTAGCCCTGCCCACAGGAGCTTCCATTCCAATAGGAGAGAAGAGACCCAGGGGGCCACAGAGCACAATGAGGCCTTGGCTTGGTGTTTGGTGATGATAGAGGAAACCTGCCCAGAACCTGTTTATCAGATCCCTGAGCATCTTTATCACGCAGGCTTGAGATACAGATGCCAGGGATACTTAGATGTGCCCTATTCCAAGATCGATGGGTTCCAAACAACTTGAAAACAATAGAATACACTTATCCCTAAGAATGGACTTGCACATAATTCGCTTCAACAACACAAAAGCTTCCAAACCTCCAGCCTCCTTTGGGCTGCCGATGTGGCCTCCAAGGTCCACTGAAAAGCCATCCCCAGCCAGCAGAAACATGCGTGTGTCTTCTTCAGGCCCCGTCCAGGCTTTGCCCCAGAGACAAGTGCTGTCATCTGTTTGTGGGTCTGTCTGTCTGTCTGTCTTTCTCCCCATTGTGAGCACTGACAAGCAAGTAAAGATGACAATGAAGCCTTTGTGGGCACCAAATGCTGAGAGCATTATCACTAAGCCAGTGGCAACCATGGTGACTGCAATAAATTTCCCCCACAGAAATTGATAAATTGCCACTTTCTGCAGCCATTATGTTTGCCTTTGTATCCCAAAGAGTAAATGCCTCTCTCCCTTTCTTTCTCTCTCTCATGTGTGTGTGCGCACATTAGATGACATTTATTCATTTTATGCATCCTGGGTTCTACTGGTCGTCCCACCTCAGTTCCTGTAGCAAAGAGACTTGAGTCTGAGCCACTAATTATCACCAGTGAGGTTTCCTCCCTGAGCAGGAAGCAGCAGGCCAGAGCTGCGCTCTCTCAGTGCACTCTCCAACCAAGCATCAGTCACCACTCCCGGTCCAGTCCCTGCGGCCAAGAGCTGGCGTGCAGGCTGGAGGAGGCAGCTGGCTCTCTCCCTGGCAGGTCCCTCGTCTCCTGAGAAACCAAACGTCAGAACCAAAGCCAGGCTGTCCTGGTTGGAGACTGAGCCAGAAAGGTGGCTCACCTCATGGTGAGGCTGTCGAGTGACCTGAGAGCCCCAGACCCTCAGACCCTCATGTCAGCCAGATGTCGCACCAGCCTGCTGTTGGTAAATCTGGCATTGATGCACATCCAAGGTGGCATGGGTCCTGTGCAAACCCCTCCCTCCAGCTCCCCAACCCCCTGACCCCTGGCCAACTAGAGGGCGCCCCTTGAATCTCCAGGAGGTCCGAGGAACTTGACACCTCCCAGAGATCTGTACTGCCTTGGAACAGGCTGCAAAAAGTGCAGTATAAAATGGGAAATATGTATCATCTGCACGTTTTCATGGCCCCCTTTTGAGGAAAGGGAGTCCAAGTTATTAAGTCAGGAGGCTTTTAAAAGTCAAAGGTTCAAGGATTTATCACACACAGTTGCGTGTGTGTGTGTGTGTGTGTGTGTGTGTAAGGATGTTAATGTTTATGATGCATTTCTGTGGAATGCAGGCCCATTGGGAATTGTAAATTTTTCTTATTGGTAACCATTTCTGCATTGGTTTAGCACGGAACTGCTGCTGCGAGTCATTGAACCGGATTTTTCTAGAATGATTCGAAAATCTAGATGTTTGTAAAAAGCTCTCTAAATTATTCATTCACTTTTATTTTGCAAAGTGGTGTGATGATAAACTCTTTTCCATCAGACCTACCTTGCGCGCATGTGTATTTCTGTGGGGATTGGCTCGAGCGTGCTTGAGCTTTCTGTATTGTCTTTTGCAGGAACTTCTCAGCCTTCCTTTTAAAAATATAATAATTTTTTAATGATGTCTAAATAACGATTCCAGGCAGTATTACAAGAAATATAACAGTAAAATGTTTGTAAGAGTCCATCAGAAAGGGAAAATGCCCACAGAGAAAATAGAAATATACCCATTAGATGTGTATGGCTATAACCAAGCTTTTAAACCATGATTTGAGACTGGCATCCTCCATCCTCTCTCCCCTCAGGTCAGCTGTGGGAGGCTAGGGGTGGGATAGCAAGAGGGACCTGGGGTCAGGTGGGGCCTCCTGGACCCCAGGCCCAGTGAGAACCAAGCCTGGGGGTTTGGGGATAGCGGGCAGCTCTGGATTTGCAGAAACAGCCTGAGAATGAGAGGCTGGAAAGTGTGAGTTGGAGCAGCTCATTGAGGAGACAGAAAACCGAAGAGGAAGAAAGCAGAAGACGCCAAAGCTTGGTGCTGAGCGGGTGACCAGCTGTTACTCACGTCCCGAGTAATGAGCCGCAGGCCCTCGCCACCCCAGAGGCAGCTCCAATGCAGGGACTGGACAGGCCCAGGGCACAGTGGAACCAGGGCAGGCAGGAGCCAACTCGGGGCCCGGAGGAGGTCCTTTAACCTGTCCGGGCCTCAGTTTTCTCTTCTGCAAAGTAGAAGGAATGATAGCCTTCCGCAGGTCAAACCTTGTGCACACATACGCAGGCGCGATCCCCGACTTTGCCTCGCGGGCACTTCTCTGCATTTGACTCCTGGTTATTGCAGCTGTGCCCATGCCAGCCTTTGTTAGGTGCTGGGATGTGCCTGCCCAGCTCCTCTCTGTTGGGGAAGATGGAATTCACGCTATAGGGGAGGCCCGGAGTTGCTACATGGGACAGTCACAGGGTGGGGGACTTCCCTGAAAACTTATTTGCATAAAATGTGCCCTGCTTGTGACTTACACTGTAAATTTCAGATCCATAAAATGGGAAAGACTTTGCAGAAGCTGTTATTCACTTTACCTGACTGGGAGATGTAGATTTTTCATATCCAAGGGTGTTAGTTTTAATACTAACATTAGCATGTGGGGAGGGGTGATCGAGAGGATGGTCCCCCCATCCCCCCACCACCTACCCCTGGGACCTCTAAGGGAAAGTACTTACCACTGTATGTTAGTTGCATCCTGTTACCTGTGCCGCAGAGATAAGAGGTGGGGAACTTAATTCTGCCTTGTAGAGGCACTGGGCCTTCCTGTTGAATTTAGCTAGTTGAGGGAAAGGCACTTCCCAGGGAAAAAGATTAAGCCTATAACCTAAGCAGAAAGAAAGCAAGAGCTCTGGGTGGGAAGTGGCCAGAGACACAGACCAGGCAGACACAGGTTTGGAAGGACCAAGGAGACAGCACATCGACCAATGGCAGCAGCCGGGCCTCACCTGCCCTGACACCCCCACCTAATGGAGACTGGGCAGACCCCCTCCAAATGGTTGCTATGTCCTGGCCCAGAAGCCTCCAAAAATCCTGAAGCCATTGACTCAGCATTCCTGAAGGCTCCTTCCATGAGTTCCCCCATACCAGGCTGCACCTCAGTGCACCTTAGATCTGGTGCTTGATTTTCACTTTGACCAGAGCTGCAGCAGTCTCTTTGCTAATATGTATTTCCAGCGTTTAAATTCATCTGTGCATAAGTCCTCAGTGTTACTAAGTTTATCAACTAGCGAAATGCTTAACTAGGTCTAACGATGTCACCAAACTGCAGAAGGGATTAGAAACTCATATTATTATTTCATCACCACTGAGTATGAGAGAGCCCCAGCTAGGTTCTGGGGAGAACAGCTATGACTCACAAATACTCCCCTCAGAATCTAGTCTTAAATCATTCAAACCACAGAAATGTATTGAGCACTTACTGTGTGCCAGGCCCCAGTAGGTGCTAGAGGCACATAAATGAGTTTTTTTATTGCCCCCCATCCAATGAGGTGGCAGACAAGAGAACCAGTGTGTGCAGCCAATGGTAATGTGACAAAAAGTGCAGAGTTAGTTCCAGAGCGCGAAGTCCTCCCTGTCCTAGACGCAGGTGGAAGCCAGGAGCTGCTCCCCAGGCTGCCTGGACCAGCCTTTTGAGCTCTTGGGACTCTGGCAACGTCAAAGCTGTTGCAAAAGTCAGAGCTCTTGCAAAAGTTGGAGCTGGCCCATGGCAGGTGGTTGGGAAGTGGCTGCATGACTCTCCCCATGCAGAGCAGTTACAGGGTGGAGGCCGACTTCCAGCATCCCTGAGAATCCAAAGTAAGAGGCCACTGAGGGGCAGGGGAGGGCCCCTCAGAGGCTTCCAATAAAAGGCAGCGCAGCAGCTGGACAAACCAGGAGAAGATGTGCATCCCTAAGCCCAAAAATCAGGTGATGTGAGGCAGGCCGAGCTCCGTGGCAGACACCCTGAGCTGCCTCTGTGTGTCTTGGCTAACTCTGCTCTTTCCTTACTCCCATGGCTTGCCCTGCCCAGGAGCAGGGCTGAGGCCCATCCCTGATTCAGTAAATCCTATGCCATCACAAGGGGAAGGGTGGGGGCAGCCACAGCCTACAAGACCCACCAGTCCCAGGGTTTGTGCAGCTCCAGGTCTCCCTGGAAAGCAAGAAACCACTCAGCTCCAGACGCTGAGGCTGCAGATTCAGCTGCCATTGCCTGATGGCCTCCAACCTGGCTGGATTAACCGGCCCATAGGGAGCTGGCTGCCCCTACAGTCCAGCTCCCTGGCCTCCCTGGGCAAAGTAAAGCCCTCCTCCCTGGCTCCATAGTGCCCAGTCATCCCCTCATTCCAGCACTTTGCTCCTTCCTGCATTGTGTAGCTGGCCTTTCTCCCAAGAGCCTTAAGAGGGCAGGTCATCTTTGGCTACCTGTATGGCCCTGGCACCTTGCTCCATGCTGGGTACACAGCAGGTACTCTGGGAATAACGAATAAGAGAATTTCTCAGAGGAGGTTTGGCAGGACAGACCATTGCATAAAACTGCACAGGCTGTGCAGAGGGCGCTCTCCACAGCGATTACTATGTAAATGGCACCACCTAAAGTTGTGCTGCAACGGGACCCTAGGGCTTGAGCATGCCCCACCCCCTCTGCTTCTTCAAGCCCCTGGCCTTGGTGCTGACGGTTGGGCTTTCCTCTTCCCCTTCCCATCCGGCACTGACCATCTTCCTTCCCATACGCTGGCAGTGGGTAGTAATGAACTGTCCCAGTGAGCAGTTCTCCCAGGCTGGGCTGTCAAAACACGGTAGTGAGAGACTCCTGGTTGGCAGGCAGGCCATTTGGATTCTTGGTCAGCCAGGAGACTCTGTCCTTTGGGAATATCCTCCCAGTCAAGATGTTAGGGGACTCCCGGATCCCCAAGATCTTTATGGTCCCCTAGAACTGCTTCCCTCCCCAGCCTGCAGTGGGCCTAATGACCCACATGTAGCCAGGGAGTGGTCCCCATGGGATTCGTTTCATTGACTCAGCTAACAATGCCACGATGACTGATCACCTTCTTCTCACCTGAGAGACCCAGCTCTGCGCAGCCAAGGGGTGTGTAGGGACAGGGCTTATACATGTGACTCTCAAGACCTAGAGGAGCTCAGAGAGAGCATGAATACGCGAAGTCCCTATGAGCAGGGAGGACTTTCTGGACCAAGTGGTCTGGGAGCTGGGCCAACTGTAAAGACCCAGGAAAAAAAAAGTCAAAACAGAATTGCTCTTGCTTGCAAGTGAGTGGTTAGTTCATTCACCCCTTCCACAGCCCTTTCCTGAGCACCTACGCTGTGTTTTTCAAAGTGTGGTCGCCACACCAGCAGCACCAGCAATTCTGAATGTGGAGCCCAGCAATATGTTTTCATCAGTCCTCCAGGTGACCCTGATGCAGCTCAAGTTTGACCTGATGTGTCCTAAGTGCTGGGGTTTGCAAACGTGAGTTTTACTTAGTTCTCACCTTGAGGAGCTTGGAGTTGGGGAGAAGATAGACAGGAGAGAAAACAGTACTGTCCAGTGAGACCGATTGCTCTGGAGGGCCATGGAGGCAGAGGAGCAGTTGGTGTGGGCTCGATCCTTGCAAGGGTAAGTGGCCTGGAGACCCCAGTGGCATGACTGTCCCTGGCAGGCAGCCAGATGTTAGGACCAGCATCCCCTAGAGGGCTCAAGGAGCCCAGTGCCCCAGTTCCCAACCACCAGGGCTGTAGCCCTGAGCAGCAGGCCCTCCTACTCTTCCTTCCACCCCAGATCTCCTGCTCTGCTCTTCCCCCATCTTCTTCCCACTCCCGAGTCCCAAATAGCAGCAGGTCTTTTCCTCCAATTGTCTTGGGGAGAAGTGGGTATGTCCCTCCAGGCCACTATCTTAGAGCACATTTTTAGAAAATTTTAAAGTAAATTTTTCCATTAGGCAGAGAACACCGTGTATTGATTTGGGTGCATCTATTTCTGCTTTACCCAGACAAGAAGATTTACAAATTATCCTAGAGAGGAATAAAATAAAAAATGAGCAAATTAAAAGGCCCAGAGCCTAGCACTTTATTTGTCTCATATAATCCTTCCTACACCTCATTAAAGTGAGGAACATCACCCCATAGTGCAGATGAGGAAATGGGGCTCATGAAGGTGAAGTGACTTGGCCGGGCCACCAGCTAGCAAGTGGTCGGGTGGGTTATGAAAATCCATCCCTCTGCTGGGCCCTTGCTGGTTGACCTTGCAGTTTACTAAGGTGACTGATTTGGAATAAATCCAGAGTGTTCTAACGCTTTCCTGAGCCCATGTCCTGTTGGCTGCATGGTGGGACCTATGTCCCATTGACTGCATTGTGGGGAGTGGCCTGGCCTGGCTAGGGAAGCTCTCAGTGACAAATTGTGGCTTCAGCTGTGTTATTTAGAGTCCCAGGGGCTGAAATGATCCTGCTTAGGGAAGAGATGACTTTAGGAGGAAGAGGGACTTAGAAGATTTGCAGCTGTGTGCATGTTTCCACCTGCACATCCTGCTATAAACCCTCAGCCATGTGGGTGAGTAGCAGATGGCGCCTCCCCCACACCCCCTGGAACACATCTGCCCTCTTCACTGACCCAGGAGCTGGTGGGGTAGACCTCAGACCTGGGCACTTGGCACACACACATCATCCCCTGGGCCCTGGAATGGCTCTCTGCTTGCATGGATGGCAGAGAAGTAGCTGTGTGAGCAAAGGCCAAGAGGACAGTTTAGCCCAAGGCACCATTTTTACAACAACAACAGGTAATGGTACTGATTATATAAGCCTCACTTGTCCAGAGGTCATGGGGCTTAGGAACCTCAATTATGTGGAAAACAAACAGGAAATAACTTCAGAAGGTTGCAGAGTCACTGTGTTAGTGTGGTCTTTGTGTTGCTATGAAGGAATACCTGAGGCTGGGGAATTTGTAAAGAGAAAAGGTTTTTTTAGTCCATGACTCTGATGGCTGGAAAGTTCAAGATGAGGCATCTGCATCTGGGAAGGGCCTCAGGCTGCTTCCACTCATGGTGGAGGCCAAAGGAAGGCAAACATTTGAATGCTCTGGATTTATTCCGGATCAGTCACCTTAGTAAACTGCAAGGTCAGCCAGCAAGGGCCCAGCAGAGGGGTGGATTTGTATCCCACCTGACCACTTGCTAGCTGGTGGCCTGGGCAAGTCACTTCACCTTCCTGAGCCCCATTTCCTCATCTGTACCATGTGTGCAGAGATCACCTGGGGACAGAGGAAGCAAGAGAGAGAGAGGGGAGGGGGGTGTCAGGCTCTTTTTAACAAGCTGCTTTCGAGGAAACTAATACAGTGAGAATTAACAGGAAACTTACTTGCCCCTCTGCCCGCCCCAAAGCCAGGGAGGGAATCCACCCCCATGACCCAAACACCTTTTACTAGGTGCACCTCCAGTATTGGAGATCAGATTTCAACATGAGGTTTTGGGGGGACAAACCTCCAAACCACAGCAGCCACCAACATTGGTGTTACAAAATCCATCCAATGATTAGGCTCATGGAGCGTGCTTAAGCTCTCATTCAAAACATGTTTACTCTTGGTTTACACACACTAGTAGCAGTCTGCCGTATCTCAATTTCCTTTTTTAAGTAACAACTTTTTAAATAACTTTATTGAGCTATACCTCACATTACCATGCAACTCGCCCATTCAAAGTATACAATTCAATGGTTTTTAGTGTATTCAGAGTTGTGTAATCATCACTATAATCAACTGTGGAATATTTCCATCACCCCAAAAAGAAACTGTGTACCTGTGAGCAGTCACTCCCCATTTTCTCCAAATCCCCCATTCTGGCAACCACTCATCTACTTTCTGTCTCTATTGATTTGCTTATTCTAGACATTTATATAAATGAAATTATGTAATGTCTGGCCTTTTGTAACTGGCTTCTTTCACTTAGAGTAATGCTTTCAAGGTTCATCCCTGTTGGAGCATGGACGGGTACTTAGTTTCTCTTTATGGCTGAATATTATTCCACTGGATGGATAGGCCACATTTTGTTTAACCCTTCCTCAGTTGATGGACGTTTGAATTGTTTCCACTTTTTGCGTATTATGAATAATGGGTGAAAATGTTTTTGTGCGGATATACGTTTTTCCTTCTCTTGGATATATAGAGTAGTAGAGTTGCTGGGTCATATAGAAACTCTGTTTAATGTTTTGAACAACTCCCAGGCTGTTCTCCACGGCGGCTGTACCATTTCACAATCCCAGCAGCAGTGTAGGAGGGTTCTGATTTCTCCACATCCTCCCTGTGTTTTAAAAAAATCTAACATTGTAGCCATCCTAGTGGGCGTGAAGGCGGTATCTCATTGTGGTTTTCATTTGCATTTCCCTGAAGGCTAATGACGCTGAAACATCTTTTCATGGGCATTTGTATATCTTTTTGGAGAAGTGTCTCTTTCCAGTCTTTTGCCCACTTTATGTAGTTGTTTTGTCTTTTTTTTTTTTTTTTTTTGGTTGTTTGTCTTTTTTAATACGAGGTTGTAAGAGTTCTTCAGATATTTAGAAATAGGTCCCTTCTCATGATATATGATTTGCCAACTTTTCTCCATTCCAAGTTGGCTTTTCACTTTCTCGATGTTGACGTTCTT